CTTTCTATTTGATTTTAAAAAGAGATAAAAAACTATATAATCACACTTACATCCTTATTTTTCTGTCTGATTTTAACAAAAATTTTTATAAAAGGCCTTAAATGAAGTAAATTCAAAATTTAAGGTGCAAAATGAGAGTTTTTAAAATTTAAAAAGTAAAGTAAAAATGACCTAAACATTAAGGGCTTGTTATTTTGAGTGAAAAACTAAAAAAAAAAGACAACTCGAGTTACAACTTTATTCGAGTTCATGTTCTTTTAAGTTTAAACTCGAGTTCAAACTCGAGTTTAGAACTAAAACTCGAGTTCAAGTTTTCCCTTCAACTCGAGTTCAGAAACTCGAACTCAAATTAATGAACATTATTTTTTCTATTCTTAAAAATGCTATAACTTTTTCGTTTTAATTATGATTGAGATGATTTTTTTTTCTATGCGTTGACAATGAAAAGACGAATAAAACCCGACTCATATACCCTATTAAAATTTTTCATCAGCATTGAGTTTTTATTAAAATACTATCTAAATACAAATTCAAGTTTTGACTCACTCAAACAAAAACTCAAAAAAATTCTTATCTCAAACCATAACTCAAATGTACACAACCAAACATAAACTCAAGTTCTAAGTTCAACTCAAGTTATAAATTAAATTCAACTCAAGAATTATACTCAAATTAAACTCTAAAAGAACATGCCCTAGACACAAATAAGATTAATCTTAACAATATTATAGAGCTGGGTATTGAGTGGGATATTAGGTCTTAGGCCCGGTTTTGAAAGATAAATAAAATAATAAATGTAGTGTTAATTGGGCTCTACACCATTTTTGAAGTTGGGTTAGTTATTTATAAGCCTTGTTCATTTTATCTATTTGAGTTTTTAATTTTAGATTTTTATAGTTAAAAGCTCTTAAAAAATGTCACATTTAATTTTTTTTTACTACAGTTAAAAACTCTCAAAAAATGAAACATCTTAGTTCAAATTAAAAACTCGAATTCACGAAACGAACGAGGCCATAATTTTATATGTATCATTTTGAGTGAATATTATAATTATTTCCAAAAAATTATGTGTTTGAAATCTAAAATCTATCTTCTCAATGAAAAAAAAAAGAAATCTAAAATTTTCAATTTTCTTAAACCAAACTAGTATTGGAACTTTGGACGGGCCGCATGCGACTGCCCGAAAATATCGATTTTTTACCCGAAGCCTGACTCGACCCGCCCAAAAAATTTAGGCCGCCCGCCCGAGCCTGAGAAGGCCCTTGAACGGGCGGCGGGCTTGTATTTGGCTACCCAAGCCCGGCCGGGCAGCCCGAGCTTGCTTGAATGGCCCAAATTTTTTTTATATTTTTATATTTTTATAATTATTAAGTTATTTTGTGTTAAAATTATATAAAAACTAAAATCAACATTCAACAGACATTATTAACACAATTTAATAAATTAATTTTGTATATTAATTTTAAATTCGTAATTCATGATTGTCTCGTTAAAAACCTTACTAAGAAAAATTCAATTGGGATAAAAACTTGGCAAGGAAAAAAGAGTGCAATCATTTTGTGACGAATTACAAATTTTACAAACTTACAAAGTTATACAATTACAATGTCAAAAGTAAATACATATTTACAAATTACAAATTTACAATTTAATTTGAAGCTCAATGATCGTCTTCAAAATTAAATGTTAATCGATTAAATTCATCGATCCATTCTTGGCTTGCCAGCGAAATTGTATCCTATAGACGTTGATCGGCACGATCCCAATCTTTAATGCAGACCAAGGCTTCAACAATGTCCCTTTGCAATGTATTCCGGCATTCTTCAAGTATTCTTCATGTTGTACTGAAGGCTTATTTAGATGAAATAGTGGAGACTGTGATCGAAAATATATCAATTGCCAATCGAGTTAGGATTGGCCAAGTTAATGCCCGTGCCCTCCACCATTGAACTAAGTCAAACGATTCTCTAGGAGGTATATTTAGTGCTTGTAAGAACCTAAACCAATCTTCTTGTCTTTGGTTACTACCTTGAATCCATGAAAGACTATCTCTAATTCTTTTAATGTGATTACCCATTTATTTTAAACCAAATTTAACTATTAAATTAATTACGTGATATGCACAACGTTGGTGGAAAATAGTACCGTCACTGAATAAACTTAAATCATTTTTAAATAACTCAATTGCTTTTGTATTGGCACTAGCATTATCTAATGTTATAGCCATTACTTTATCTCTTAATCTAAATTCATCAATTACATTTAAAATTGTATTATATATTAAATCCGCGCTATGTGATCCTAGAACATATTTAAAACTTAACATTCTCTTATCTAAATCAAATCCTTTAAAGTAATGTCCGGTTATAACTAAATAATTTTTATTGGCAACGGCAGACCAAATATCTGTCGTTAACGCAATACACCCGCTTGTCGAGTGTAAAAGGTTTATTAATGCTTCTTTTTTTTTAAATAATTTTAATAAATCTTTCCTAAGAGTAGTTTTTGAAGTGAACTGTGCATTAAGATTATGTACAACCTTAATATATCGTTGCCAATTAGGATGCTCTACAAAACTAAGTGGTTGATCTAAAGCAGCTATCATTCGCGCAACTTCCATACGGTCTACTTGCGGATTGTATTTCCAAGTGGTTAGACCACCGGTTGTGCGATCAAAAGATAATTGTGTTTGGCGGAATTCGGGTCGCCGAATTGGCTAAGCTTTTAAAGACACTTTTCAGAGTGTCTTCTCAAGTGTGTGGTACTGTGAATAGTATCATCTTGTAATTTAGATAAATAATATTTACACTGAGCTATATGTTTAGTATTACCTTCATTGTCGATCTCCTCAATTGTGTCGAAGTGATCCCAAACTTTCGAGGTGCGCTTGCATTTCCTCCTGGAGGTTGCAACACTTGCAGACGCAGACGTTGTCGCACTTGCACTTGCCGCTTTTCCACGCCCACCACCATTACGACCATGACCTCCAGTACGTCTACCAGGACTCGGATTAGTAGATTCATGCGTAACAAATTCATTAGTGGGAAATTGCCCTTCTTCCACGTTGTGTTGGGCATCAACGAGAATACCACTATAACTAAAAGGATCCATTATAAAAAAAATAAGAGCGATTTGAGAGAGAGAGCTTTAGGATAATGTGATAGTTTTTGGAAAAATTGTGAGAGAGATTTGAGAGATTGAGAGAGATTGAGAGAAACTGAGAGGGATTGAGAGAAATTGAGTGAGAAAAATGTATGCGGGATGGGGGGTATTTATAGAGAAATTTTTGAGTTAAAAAATTAATTTTTTTTCAAAAAAATTCGGATGAAAGGGCTACTTTTGGTTTCGGCGGGTCGGGTTCGGGCAACGGTAAAAAAACTAGCCATTGGACGGGTTTTCGGGCAATCGGGAAAATTGGGCTTCATGTCGAGTCGGGCTCCAACGGTTGAAATTTTGACCGTTTGTCGGGTTTTCGGGCAATCGGGTGGGTCGGGCAAATCGGGCCTAGCCGGAAAAATTTAAAAAATTTCCGGCGGACGGCGGTTGACAGCAACAACACGGCGGCGGGCTCCGGTGTAGTATCCATTTTCGGGCTGTTTGAGCCCGAGCCCGAAAATATAGTGTTGGACGGGCCGACAATTGAGCATGTCCGCCAGCCCAAAAAATTCAGACCTCGAACCGGCCCGCCGACCCAAAATTCCAACACTAAACCAAACTATAAAAGTGTTATTCTTCTCGTCACCCACAAAAAAAAAAAAAAAAACTGTTATACAGCTCCAAAGAACCGCAGTTCTGCACTCACAAGGGATGGCCCATGTGAGCCCTACAAGGACACAGGCCCACCCATATGAGTTTAGCTTCAATGAAGGAAATAACGGATTTGGAAGAGACAAATAAAATTAATAGCATATATTTAAAAAATGTTTAGTAAATAGCATAAAACTTTAATGAAGATATTTTAACATATAAAACATTACTAAAAATATCTAAGAAATACCCAAAATTGAAAACCTCTCTCTGTTCTCTATCACGTTCTCTCCTCCTCTTCCCTGTCTTCTGTCTCTCTCTCCTCTATCTCTCTTTTCCCTCATTCGCTCTCTCCTCCCTTGCTCTCTCTCTCTCCGTCAATGCGTCGAACACCAGCGACCGAAATCTCTCACAACCAAGATCTCTCACCAACCATATGTTCGTCGCGGGGAATGCCTAGATCGTCGCACGAAAGTTTCTCATCTCCGTCGTTAATGGAAAGAGAAATCGTGAGACAGTAGGGGGCGAGCAAGAGACAAAGTAAAGAGAGGTGAGAGAAAGAGAGAAGATGTTCGTCGCGGGGAATGCCTAGATCGTCGCACGATAGTTTCTCATCTCCACCGTCAATGGAAGGAGAAATCGTGAGACAGTAGGGGGCAAGCAAGAGACAAAGTAAAGAGAGGTGAGAGAAAGAGAGAAGGCCAGGGTGAGAGGGGAGAGAGAAAGAAGAGAGAAAGAGAGGATGCTAACGTAAGAGGGGAGAGAGATAATTTCTTTCTTTTAAAATTGTAGTTTTGAGAATTTTTAATTTGAAGTAATGATAAAATGGTAAAAATAAACTTAATTTTTTAAATCTTATTATTTACTAATTAATTAAAATAAGTATGATATTTAGTTCATTTAGTTTAGAAATCTGTTATTTACTGCTATTTCTTTTGAAATAACCGTTTAGTTTTTTTTTTTTTTTTTTTTTTTTTTTTAATGAGACCCGTAAATTCAGATTCGGGTCTAATAGTTAATACTACAAGAAATGAAGAAAACCAGTTAATCTACCGTCCACGAGACGCCATACTTGACGCGTCTTCAATTCTCACCGGTGACCGTTAATTGACGGCGTGCGTTTCCAACTGACGACGTTAACTGGGGAAGGTCGTTTCCCAATAGCACCCTTTAAACAGACTCCGTCATCTCCTTTTTTCTCTCCTCTCTCTCTCTCGCATAATGGAGGTCGATTGCTTATATATCTGTGGCTGTGGATCTAAAGCCTTTCTTTCCAGGTAATCTTCGAATATCTCTTGAATTTTCTCTCTTTCTGTTTGGCTTCTTTTGTCCCCTTTTCCAGAGCTAGGGTTTCGTTGCTTTAAATCTGTGTTTTATTCTGACCCATGTTCTGTAGATTTTACGAGATTCTGGAGCTTGTTTGGTTGTCGGTGATTAAGTTTTTGCTTTTTTTGGTTGCTGTGAAAATGTAGGAATTGAGAATTTATTGGAATTTTGACATCTAGAAAATCAATCAATTAGTATTTTTGATACAAAAATCAAATCTTTGACTGGGTTTTTGTTGTGGTGATATTTCTGGCTTGAATTGTATAATTATGAAGTTTCCTAATGAACAATTAGGTTTATTTATTTATTTATTTTTTAGCTTGCATGGTAAATTCCCACCCCACCCCTAAATTATTGTTCTGATTGAGTTTCAATTGTCTAGTTATTGCTTTCAGGTCGGTGTTCTTATGAAAATCTTGATTCTGTAGTTCAAAGTACGTTGAACTGATTGCTGAGCTTGAAAAGAAACTTGTGAAGATTTGTGGATTTGAGTGATGGGGAGACTTACGAGGTAGTTTTCTTAATTTTTCGATAGAGTAATGAATCTGCAATATTTGATAGTTCGACTTGGTTTGTTAGAGTGGCTGGGGGGTGATTCTGTAGACTAGCTAGTGCATTTAAACATATACCCAAGAAACAAGGAGAAAAAAAATAAAACTTTGAAGGATCTCATGGAGGAAGCTCTCCTTACAACCCTGTCCATGGAGAAATGTCACTCCACCGATTCGGGTTCTTTGTCGCATGATGAATTGGAGAGAGAGATGAGCCGGTCTTACGGCCTTTCACGCCCTCCTGACATCAATCTCCCTCTGTCATCTGAGCCAAGCCCACCTTCTCAAGGATGGAATGATCCGTGTGATGTTTTAGATGTGGGTCTTGGACCTCAAATGTATGAGGCTGAGGCGGCAATCAATCAGCCGAAAGCTGCGAGGAAATGCGCCAAGAGACTTGACAGTGTTTGGGGTGCCTGGGTTTTCTTTAGTTTCTATTTCAAGCCTGTTTTGAATGAGAAGTCAAAGTGTAAGATTGTCCGGGATAGTAATGGTGTCTCTGGGTATGATAAAACCGATCTGCAGCTGGATGCTTTTCTGGTTCAGCATGATATGGAGAACATGTACATGTGGGTTTTCAAGGAAAGGCCTGAAAATGCTCTCGGCAAGATGCAGCTTAGGAGTTACATGAACGGGCATTCTCGACAAGGGGAGCGCCCATTTCCATTTAGTGTGGACAAGGGTTTTGTTCGGTCTCATCGTATGCAGAGGAAGCATTACAGGGGTCTTTCTAATCCTCAATGCATTCATGGGATCGAAGTAGTTCGGTCACCCAATCTCATGTGCCTTGATGAGGAGGAAAGGAAGAGGTGGGTGGAGCTCACAGGCCGAGATATAAACTTCTCTATCCCTCATGAAGCCAGTGACTTCGGTTCTTGGAGGAATCTACATGCCTCAGAATTTGAGCTCCCTCCGCCCCTTAAGAATAACGTGAATTCCCAATCCCACCAAAGAAAATTGCTAAATGGTACTGGTCTTAATTTGGCTACTCAGCCATCAGATCACGTGAGCGTCGATGGCATGGACCTTTCGCCAGTTAGCAACAAACGAAAGAAGGATCTTTTTCCCCATGGAAACGAGGAGGATTGTTGTCTGACTAATAATTCGCATTTTGACAGAACTTTAGATTTGAAAGTTCATGCTGTAGAGCCCCCCTGGGTAAGTGAGTTTAGCGGAGTAATGAAAAATGTATATGGACCTGTTACAGCTGCAAAAACAATATACGAGGATGAGGAGGGTTTCTTGATCGTAGTTAGCTTGCCTTTTGCTGATCTTCAAAGGGTAAAAGTTACTTGGAAGAACACTCCCTCACATGGTGTTGTAAAGATTTTTTGTGTGAGTACAGCTGGAATGCCATTTATTAAGAGGCGTGATAGAACATTTAAGCTAACAGATCCAACACCGGAGCATTGTCCACCCGGGGAATTTGTTCGCGAAATTTCCCTCCCAACCCGCATTCCTGAAGATGGTAAGCTGGAAGCATACTGCGACGAGACAGGTACTGTTCTGGAGATTATTGTGCCTAAACATCGCATAGGACCCGAAGAACATGAAGTCCGCGTATGCCTTCGCCCCTCTCCGTGGAATGAACGGCCATATTGTGACTTGAAAGAGACAGACATTGACATGAGAATGTAAGCAATGGTTACAGTGTTTTTTGCGTCGGCACAAAAATAATGTCAATATCTTCATTTGGAAATATTGTATCTCTATTTTATTAGTTTTGTTCGTCGTGTACACTTTAAAAAAGTTATTTAAGCTGGTGCGAAGTTATTATTGTCGCACCAGTTGCAACATGAAAAAAGATGTAGTATTTTCCCTTTCAATGTATTGATTATTATCTAACCGAGCTTATCTCCATGAATTTGATTTTCCCTTTCAATGTCATTGATTATTATCTAATCCGGATTGTCTGCATAATTCTTAAATGTGGTATATGAGTATCAACAAACATTGGTATTGGGAACTTGCAACTCATTCGGCATTCTAAATTGGATTTTCCCTTTTAACATTGGTTATTTTTGTATTTGTTTTGTTAAACGAAAAATAACACGAGTAAAAAAAGAAAATTATGGGTATACTGAGGAGCAGCGGCGAAGTGAGAGTGAATCCGACTGCTGCATTTTTTGTTGTCTTATGGTTTTGTGAATTTTGTGCATGTTTTGCGCGCGCGCGTGTGTGTATATTGAATTAATCTCACAAGGATTTACTAAAAACAGTTAGTTCTTAAAGTTGTATTATGTTTAAGTTTTAGTCTTTAAAGTGTTAAATATTTGACAGAATTTGTATAAATTAGATATCAATATTGAAAGTAGCTAAAATTTATGGACTATTTGTGAGACTTATTTTTTATTTTTGTATTGTTTTATTCCCTAAATTTTAGATGTTTTTAATTTTCATCCTTAATTTTTACAGATTTCGTCAAATATAACACCTAGTTAACTGAATGACCAGGACTGAAACATAGTAAAATTTCTGAGACCAACTGTGATCTGTTTCAAAGTCAGGGATCAAAGTAAGATTTAGGGTAAATCTCAAGGACAATTTCTGAGATTATTATTATTATTTTATTTTGGTGGTTTTTTAAGTATACTAGTGAGAAAATTAGTGGTGGTACATTTTTTTAGCACCCTTAACAAGCACTTCAAGACCTGCCAAAGCTCATGAATCCGGGTCAATCATTTGGTCGGTCTTCCATTCATCGGATTGACGGTGTGGATAACAAGGTCAACTTTTACCAAACAAAAACTCATCGTGTAAAAATGACCAATAGTGGCCAGCGATTAGTTACCGACTTTAAGTAGGCTTATCAAACGTGTCGTGCCGGGCCGGCACAACACATCCGACCCCAGGCCCGTGGCGGGCCTGAGCCGTGCCTGGCACGGCCCTGCAGTGGCCTAAGGAGAAAATCTTAGGGCCGGTTTAGACCCGCGGCCTTAGTCCATAAGGGCCAGGGCCGTGCCTGGGCCCAGACCCTTCACGGGCCGGCCCTGGCCCTTGTAATTTTTTTTTTCAAAATTTAATTAAAAAAATAAAATATATTATATGCCCCCAAAAGATGTGATTTTATTGAATTGAGATAACACGAATAAGTATACATAAATGACTGCCTCGTTAAAAATCTTACCAAGTAAAACTAGTGGGGAGATCGGGACAAAACCTTAGCGAAGGAAAAAATAGTGCAGTATTCTAGGAATAGTAAATTACAAAACCTAAGTGATTCCAGAAGATTCTGTTATTTCGAAGTTAGAAAAATAATCTTGCATTGAATCATCCGTGTATTGTTATTTTCGTATTTTGGCATCTTTCCAGTCTTTAACACACATTAGCCCCTCCAAGATATCTGGATGCATTCTGCTTCTCTTCTCGTTAAGAATTCAGTTGTTTGCACTAAATGCTTGCTCCGATGCTGTCGTTGACACTATAGTTGTCAGAATGTCACGAGCTTTTATGGACAGTGTTAGAAAACGATCGGTCTCTCTCTTCCACCACTGTAAGATGTCCAGTTTGTCGTCATCGATTATAAAATTTGCTTCAAAATATTTTACCACTTCGGTTGATGCTTGTGTTGATGACGATCCTGCCGTTTTCTTTTTCTTCTTCAAGAAACTCCACGATGATCCTTTAGGCCCCGAATTGCTAGTTGACGTCGAAGTTCCCTGTTCTTTTACCTGTGCTGTATTTTGCTTCATACAAACCAAATTCTTTTTCTAACATTTTCCTAGCGTCAGTAATAGTTAGTTGCATATCAATACCTAAATTTTCTGCTGTAGCAGTCATCAAAGATTCAGTCTCATCTACTCCGAACCTAGGATCTAAAATGGTTGCTAATGCATATAACATAGAACAACTTGACAAATAATTTTTAAATTTAGTTTCCATTAGCTAACTATGTCTCCAAAAAGTATTGTATCCCTATAATAAGAAAATGTTTCTGAAATATTAAATAGTTGATGTAAAGCTAAATGTGCAGTAGGATAATAAACTCTGGAAAGTAATTCAGTAGCATTGTAAAAACTTCTAGAAATTTAAAAAAATACTCACCAATCTGCTAATCTGTATCAAAAATTAAAAGTTGATCGTTCTTACTGTTTACATACGTTGTGATGAGCTCTGAATACGAGAGTGCAGCCTTCAATATTAAATAGGTAGAATTTCACCTATGTCTCACGTCAGTTGGGAACTTTTTTGGGCTCATCTGACTGTTCCTGCAATATTGTTTGAATTCTTGAAGTCGAGCTCCAGAACTAGATATAAAGGATAGAGATTCTCTAATATTTGTTAGATTAGCTGAAATATGTTCAATTCTTGTCTGAACTACTAAATTGATTATGTGACACGCACACCGTTGATGAAAAATTCCCCCCCAAACACTGGTTTCAAACAACGTTTAAACATGTTAATTGCAGCCGTGTTAGCTGATGCATTATCAAAAGTAATAGTTAAAATTTTATCTTTTATCCATAAAACCCAAAAATTTTCATTGTTGTACCAAAAATAGCTGATGCGTTATGAGGATATAGACATAAACGAAAACCTGTTATTTTTTTTTGTAAAACCCATTCATCATCAACATAATGCGCCGTGACGCATAAATATACATTTTTATTGCACCCCTATCATAGATCAAAAGTTCAATATACAGTAGCATTAAAAGTCCTAAAATTATCAGCAAGAGATTGTCTTATTGCATAAAATACTTTCATGCAATCAGAAAAAGTTGTGTTTCTACTTACCCGTTTAAATTGCGGGCAAAAGGCCCTCTGTATAAATTCTTCGAACGACGCATCATCTGTAAAAGGAAAAAGTAATTCGGCACTAGCTAGAAATTTAGCTAGTGCCTCACGAGCACGTTGTGCATCGTATATAAAATTTTGCAACCATTGTGATGTGAGTGATAGTGTTTATTGGCGGGAGTCCACACTCTCACCTTGGTGCAATGGTAGACATACTTTCCAATGTCTATCCAGATGACCAGTACCCCCACCCTTTTAAATTAGAAAAGTGCTTTTTACAATACTTACATACTGCATGAATTTTCATTTCACCTGTTTTTGGATTTAGTCGGGGCTCCTCCGTGAAAAATACTGCCATGCAGGAGAAGTTCGCGGTCTTTTGTCCCTCGTGCGTTCTCCAACTTTCTCGTTGTGCACTGAAACATTATCAACAAGAGCATTTTCTGGTTCAGTGGGGGTGGGGTTTGGAGGCATCATTTTATCTCAAAAAATGGCTCATCACCAAGCTCCTAAAGAGCAGTGAAATCAGAGAAGTTTGATGCGGCCATTTTTTGGAAATTGATTGAACTTAAACTTTATAAATGAAAGAGCAAGAAAATGAGCGATCGAAAGAAAAAAGCTTAGAATTAAAATCAAAGAGACAAGATGAGAGATAAAATGAGAGTGAGATGAGAAGTTGAGAGTGAATTATTGTGTGGGATTTAGAGTGAAATTAATGGGATACTTTTGAGATTTTTTCGGATTGTAACCGTTGGGCCCTTCGCGGGCCAACGGGAGGCCCGTCACAGGCCTAACGGGAGGCCCGTGATGGGCCGACCGCTCGGCCCGCGAAGGGCCCAACGGTCACAATCATTGTGGGTTGGAGGGCTTTTCGCGGGCCTGGGCTGGGCTGAATCCGGGCTTGGACCAAACTGAGCTTAGGCCTGGCCGCGGGCCTTCACGGGCTAGGGCCAGGCTTAAGCCGCGGGTTGAGGAGCCAAGGCCCAGGCCTAGCCCATCAAACGTGCCGGGCTGACACGGTCCGTAACAGTACCGTACCGGGCCGTGCTGAATCCAGCACTGTTACGGGCTAGGCCGGGCCATCCATGGACGACCCGGCTCATTTGACACCTCTAACTTTAAGTCAATAGAATATACATCTTGAGGCTTTGGTTATAATAGAATATACATCTTGAGGCTTTTGTTTTAATGTTTAGCAATCCGGTTGACATTGATCTTGAACTAACCATTTTTAGGCTTAGCATTTTTTTAATGCAGATGAATAAAGTGGCGGTATGTTTCGCGGTCTAACAAACTCGCTCTTGTCCAGTTCATCAATCACACTAAAGCAGAGAATATAACTATGACAATGCCCGTTTTTAAGGGTTCAAAAGTTAATCCGGCTTCGGACGCTTTCATTGTGGTGTAAGACAGGCCACATACAAAAAGAGAATAAAACTTGATACTAAAACAGACCTTGACTACGATTTAACTAAGCATCACTCTTTGAATACCAAGTCTCTTCTCCCTCTGAATTCCTACTCCCTTTTTGGACACGATAAACAGTTGGTTGAGCTAGTAGCCCTTTCTATCTAAATATGATTGAAATCCTAAGACATGAACATTTTCTTCTTTCTTAGTAGGCACTTGAAAATAAAAGAGAGCTAAGTTTCCTTTCTCTCTAAACCCTAAATTGCTCAGCAGTAGTAATGTACCATAACATAAGCTCATGAGCTTATTATTCTAGGCTGGAACAAGTTGATAGGTTCCTCTTTCTACGACCCTGCCAATACTGGTGGTTTTCGGTGGATATTAGTGGTTATCAGTTTGTATCAAGGTGAAAATCATCTAGTACATGTGGATATTGATTGGTAACCACCAGCTGATATCCCAATGCTTGTCGACTAGTATCTTAATGATATATTTTGTATTTTCGATATAGTGTTATGACATGGTGTAGTATTCTCTGCAATTACATTTTTCTTGTGGTATAAATCAATCCTAGTCATGTAAAAAGAGCCCAAAATTGATTATACGGTCGAATGCCCGTCTAGATCAAATTTGTCTTGCACTTGTACTAGCTAATTTGAATTTTTTACGCAAAATTTCACATTCACAATCTTTGGATTCGTTTTTCCATAAAAGATGG